CACTAACGACGTACACTGCACCTTACGCACTAGCACCTACAGCACTAAACTATACACCCTTACACTTGGCCTACAAACCTACGATATACTGCACCTACCGCAACTACGCACCTAAAGACCTAACGCACCTATCCCCCTAAGCATCACTTACCACCTACCGCACCTACGCCACGCTACGCAACCCGTACGCACCCTACGCAACTCACCGCACGTCCGGCACTAAACCTACGCACCTAACGCACCCTAGACCTACGCACTACGCACTACGGCACCTACGCCACCTACGGGGCCTACGCCTACGCACCTACGATACGCAGCATACCAACTACGACCTCAGACCTACGCACTACGCACGGCTCGCACGATACGCAGCTACCGGCACCTACGCCACTCACGACCTAACTGAACTCCGCACCTAAGCACATACGCACTAGACACCTACGCACACGCAACGTACGCATCGCTACGCACTCCGCACCTACGCCCTACCACTCTACGCATACGCACTAACGCACCTAAGATACGACACCTACGCACCTCTACGCAAGGTACTACGCCTGTCGCACGCTACACCTAACACCCTACACACTCAAAACTACCGCTACACACGCCTAACACTACACACCTACACACGTACAGCAGAGTATTAGGCAGGAATGAGTATAGGTAGAGTGCAGAAAAAAATATTTGAGAGTGCAGATTATTTTTGCATTTGTCTCACAAGCAACTAGATGAATATTTGAGGCCGTGCTAGCCATTTATTGCGTGCAGTTTCAAAACTGACCGTGCAAATCAGGGCAGCACGGCTCATGGCTATTACGGTTGATACCGCCGACGCTGGCGCCGTGGTAGCGACAGGACGCACTTACTTAAACTGCGCTTATCTTTAGATGGCGACCCTATTATAGTGAAGAACTATTTATTCTCAAATCAATAATTCTCTCCTTCCCTCTCATTCTCCACCTCTCCTCCTCTACTCGTCTCTCTTCTCTCTCTACATATAATGCAATAATTAAGAAAAAGTGTGTAGATAATGTAGCTCGTTGGATTTGCGATAGAAACCTATGGTGTAGTTGGACTATTACTTGGTAATCAATTTTCTCGCCATCAGACGCACGGAATCATATCACACTATATTCGGATATACTGCTATTTTTATGCTTTATCTATACACATACCTAATTCTGCGATGAAAGGATTACCCCCGACCGAGATAATTATAACGACTGATCACTGAAACACCTAACAGTCCAACATTTTCATGCTTTAAAACCCTATCAAATATTCACGCTTTTTTCCGCTTTGTAATTGGCCCATATTTCCGACTTTCAAAAATGAATCATAAACTCCTAGAATAATGGTATACACCGTCACCATCTGAACAGATTGACACTTTCGCGAAATTTTTTTATTTAAAAAAAAAAAATCCCTCCCTACCCTACTAATTTTTTTCTCAAGACCGTCTCTCCGGAAACACATCATCTGTACTTTTTTCTTAGGCCTTAAATTGACTGGTATGAGGTCGTGAGTAGGCATCCACGCGCTGCAACCGTCGTTGCCCGTACGAGATTGAGAACGCGAATAGTTTCTTGTGACAACGCCCCGGGAAACCTGAAACCGCGACGACAACACACCACATGCCCTCCCCCAACGAAATGTAGACCGCACCCCCACGGCGCACATACCCCCACACACCCCTCCACCACCCACAACACCGACATCAAGCACGCGCACGCACAGCGAATATACCCATACGCAGAACACACACCGCGACCAGCACCCCCCGCCGAGCACATGACACACTGCACACCACGACTGCACCGTAGCATGCACAGATTTACGCACACCCAGAGATACGCACGGGCCGCGCCGGCACACAGAGATACGCAACCACACGGGCCTCCTGCTCAGTCCCGCGCGCTCCCGCCGGCCCCTAGCATGCACAGATACGCACCACACAGAGATAACCACGCACTGCAATAGAAAGACATGCGAAGCCTATAAGCGGGTCGTAACAGCACACTACTTCTGACGCGGGACTTTCCCCAGGGAGTGGCGCCCCCTGTACTACTCACGTGCAGCAGGTGGCGGTGGGTGGTGCCCTTGATACTACTTCACGGCAGCGCGGAGGCGCAGCGGCTGGGGGTTGCGCACCGCTGTACTACTCACATACAGCGAGGTGCGCGCAGCTGAGTGGCGCCCCTGTATACTCCGTGGTGCGAGGCGCGCTGTGCAGAGAGTGGCGCACGCTGTGTACTCACGTGCACGCGACGGGAGGGGCGGGGGGTGGCGCCCCTGTACTAAATCACGTGAGACGATCGCGGAGCGCGCGTAGGAGAGTGGCGGCCCTAGTAACTAAACTCACGTGGCAGCGAGGGCGGTGTGCGGCAGAGTGGGCCCTGTAGCTACTCACGTGCAAGCGAGGCGCGCGGCGTCCGCGGGAGAGTGGGCACCTGTAGCTACTCGACCTGTGCAGCGAGGCGCGCGGTCGAGGGATGGCGGCCACGCTGTAGCCACTCCACGTGCAGCAAGGCGGTCGAGAGTGGCGCCCCTTATACTCGTGCAGCGAGGCACGGCGGGGGCGGTGGGGCACCTGTACTACTGCTGGAACGTGCTCGAGGCGCTGCCGGTGGGGGGTGGCGCGCCCTGTACTACACGTGCAGGCAAGGAGGCGCGCGCGTGCGGAGAGTGGGCGCCCCCTTTACTACTATATGGTGCAGCGAGAGCGCGCGTCGGTGCAGAGGTGGCGCCCGCCTGCTACTACTCCCGGGAGCGGGCCGTGGCGTGCAGGAGAGGTGGCGCCCACCTGTACTACTCACGTGCAGTGCGACGTGATCGTTGCGTGTTGTCCGAGGAGCACGGCGACGGGAGCGGCCGAGCGGAGGCGCCAGACGCGGATGACCTTGTCGCAGCCTCCGGCGGCCGACGCGGGCGTATGCTCGTGCGACAGAGACTAGGATGGAATCCGGCCAGATTCCCGCAACCGCGAGCAGACGCCTTCCGTCCCAACGCGCTCCACCTTCCCAGCTGGATCGCCGCGCCCGACCCTGGTGGTGCAGACGCAGAAACACTGATTCGTGTGCGGAAATGTACGGTGTCTGGGGCGTAGGCTTCGGGGGCCTGGGGCGGCCAACAATTTTTCTGTGCCCGCCCCAAGTGCCCCGCAACTAAAATATTCAATGCTTGATAATTAAAAAAAATTGAATGAAAACAATGCGTCTAGAACCAGTTATATCAAGAAAGTTATATTATTGTGCCCCCCCCAACGAAAATGTAGGCCCGCCCCAGATGCCCCCCCCCGCTAAATAAAAATCTACCTACGCAACGCATGGTGCTGCAAACGACAGAAACACTCGAGTCGGTGTGTGTGAATGTAACGGTGTGCAACGAGAACAGCTGAGATCGTGTGTGGAATGTCACGGTGATGCAACGCGAAACCTGAGTCGTGTGCGGAAATGTCCGTGTGCAACGCGGAGTTGGGAACGCTGAGTCGTGTCCGGAATGTACTGGTGTTGGCAACGCAAAACACTGAGTAGTGTGACGGATATGTCATCAGTGATGCAACGCAGAAACACTGAGTCCTCGTGCGCGATGTCACGGTGTGCAACGCAGAAACACTGAGTCGTGTGTCGCAATGTACGGTGTGCACGCCAAAACACTGAGTATCAGGTGCGAATGATCACGGTGTGGCAAGCAGAAAGCTGTCGTGTGGCGGAATGTCCGCATGTGGCAATGCAGAAACACTGAGTAGTGTGCGGAATGTCATAGTGCAATGCGGAAACACTGAGTCGGTGGCGGAATGTCACGATTGTGGCAATTGCAGAAACGCTGGTCGCTGTGTGGAATGTCAACGTGTGCAACGCGCAAGACGCTGAGTGTGTAGTGGAATGTCACGAGGGTGCAACGCAGAAACGCTGACTCGTGTGCGCGAATGTCACGATGTGCAACGCAGAAACCTGAGTCGTGTGTGGAATGTACGCGTGTGCAACGCGAACACTGAGATCGCTGTGCGGAAAATGTCACGGTGATGCAACGCAGAAACACCTGAGTCTGTGTGCGCGAAATAGTCACACGGTGTGCAATGCTGAAACGAGTTGCAGGGGTAAGATTGAACTTTGAACAAAAGCAGACTCACCTGCACTCAAAAGAGGGAGTCAGCAGCAAAATGAGCGAGTCGCAGTCTGAAGCTTCAAAACTAAACAGTTACAATAACGCGGTTGCTTATTTTGAAAGATTCATGCGGTGCACGTCTGCCAAATTGTCTTTGGCACATTTGCTGAAAAAATACGGCAATTCCACGAGGCCAGAGTAGTTAGTATAGGAGAATTTTCAGGGAGTGCACACGCGACTCCTGCATATCGTCAATCAGGGAGTCCGACAGTAAATACGGGAGTATTTACTAACTCCGATTCGACATTATATTTCGCACCCTTGCGCCTCACTTACTGTGATATATGTAATGACGAACGGACGCTCAAAGAGGACGCAGTAGAGGGACGGACAGGGTCCGGTGCTTCACGAAGGCGTAATTTAAGTCCTTAATTCGTGATTAAATCATATCATGATTAACTTACCCGTATATACATGAAGTGAGCTGTTTACGTGCATGCGTGCGTGCGTGCGTGCATGCGTGCGCGTGTGTGTGTGTGTGTGTGTGTGCGTATGTGTGTATGTGTGCGTGCGTGTACATTCGTCGTCCTGCGTTTCAGTTTTCGCCGGCGTGTCACAAGAAACATCGGTTTCTCATCTCGACGGGCAACGACGGTTGCATGTTCGTGTGGATCTACTCACCGACCTCATACCAGTTCAAGTAAGGCCTAAAAAAATAAATGATGTGTTTCCGAGAACGGTCTTGAAAAAATTAGGTAGGGTAGGTAGGGATTTTTTTTTTTTAAATAAAAAAATTCGAAAATGTCAAGTGTTCAGAGGTGAGGTGAGTACCATATTCTAGGAGTCCATGATTCATTTTTGAAAGTCGGAAAATTGCCAAATTTACAAAGCGGAGAAAAGCGGAATTTTGGATATGTAAAGCAGAAAATTTTGGACTTTAGTGTATTCAGTGATCAGTCGTTATAATATCTCTGTCGGTAATCCTTCATTCGCAAATGTAGTTATTGTTTATATATAAAATAAAAATAGCAGATAGCAAATATAGTGAGATATATTACCGTGGTGCGATGCGAAAGAATTTATTACACAAGTAAGTAGTGCACACGACACCTATTATGTTTCTATTCAAATCCAACTAGTTTAATTATTAAATTTTCTTAATTAGTTGCATATATGTAGAGAGGTCGAGAGAGAGAGAGATCGAGAGAGGAGGGAGAGGGGAGAAGAGAGGAGAAGGGAGAGAATTTTGATTTAAATTAAATATTTCTCATATAATAGCTAGTCTAAATTACCAGTTTAAGTAAGTGCGTCCTCGCTACCACGGCGCAGCGTGGCGTGTAGGTCAACGTAATAGCCAGTGAGCCGTGCAGCCGTGATTTGCACGGTCAGTTTTGAAACTGCACGGACAAAAATGTGTAGCACGGCCTCAAATATTGATCTATTGTCTTGGCTGAGACACACATGCAAAAAAATTGCACTCTCAAATATTTTTTCTGCACTCTTACCATACTCATTCCTGGCTAATACTCTGCTGTAGGTGTGTAGGTGTGTAGGTGTGTAGGTGGTGTAGGTGGTAGCGTGTAGGTTGTGTAGGTGTGTAGGTGTGTAGGTGCGCAGTGCGTAGGTTGCCGTAGTGCGTAGGTGCGTAGGTGCGTAGGTGCGTAGGTGCGTAGGTGCGTAGGTGCGTAGGTGCGTAGGTGCGTAGGTGCGTAGGTGCGTCAGGTGGCGTAGGTGCGTAGGTGCGTAGTGCGTAGGTGCGTCAGGTGCGTAGGTCGTAGGTGCCGTAGTTGGCGTAGGTGCGTAGGTGCGTAGGTGCGTAGGTGCGTAGGTGGCGTAGGTTTGGGGCCGGTAGGTGCGTAGGTGCGTAGGTGGCGTAGTTTGCGTAGTGCGTAGTGCGTAGGTGCGTTAGGGTGCGTAGGTGCGTAGTTGCGTAGTGTGGCGTAGGCGTAAGGTGCGTAGGTGCGTAAGGTTTGTAGGTGGCGTTAGGTCGCGTAGGTGCGTAGGGCGAGGTGCGTAGGTGCGTAGGTCGTCAGGTGCGTAGGTGCGTAGGTGCGTAGGTGGCGTTAAGTAGCGTAGGTTGCGATAGCGTGCCGTAGGGTGCGTAGGTGCGTAGATTGCGATAGGTTTGGTAGTGTGTAGGTGTGTTAAGTGTGGTAGATGTGTAGGTGCGTAAGGTGCGTAGGTGCGTAGGTTCGTAAGGTGGCGTGAGGTGCGTAGGTCTTGGGCCGTAGGTGCGTAGGTGCGTAGGTGTTAGGTGTGTGTGGGGCGTAGTTGTGTGAGGTGTGATAGGTGTGTAGGTGTGTAGTGGCGTAGGTGCGTATGCTTAGTGCGTAAGGTGTGTAGGTGTTGTAGGTGTGTAGGTTTTAGTGTGTAGTGTGTAGTGTGTAGGTGTGTAAGGTGTGTAGGTGTGCTTAGCGTGTGTAGGTGTGTAGGTGTTGTAGGTGTGTTACGTGTGTAGTGTGTAGGTGTGTAGGTGTGTAGGTGTGTAGGTGTGTAGTGTGTGGGGCGGAGTGCTGATTTATGTAGAAAGGAGTAGACAATTGTTTGTGTGGATCTACTCCCGACCTCATACCAGTTTAACAGGAGTACGATAAAGGGAATGAATTCGCTAACTTATCTACTCCGAGTGTCACGTAAGTGCATGCTCCTACCACGGCGGCAGCATGGCGTGTAGGTGTGCACTGTGTAGGTGTTTGTGTGAGTGATGCTGATTCAAAGTGGCCAAGGATGAGTTGGACAGTTGAATGTGAAAGTGTGTGGGTGGGTGTCTGTGTGTGTGTTTGTTGGTGGTGTGTGTGTTGTTGTGCGTGCATATCGTGGCGTGCCGAGCGTACGTGCAATGCGTGCGTGACGTGCGTGGTGCGTGCGGCGTGCGCGTAACGCCACCTTGCACAATACTGTGATCCGTGCCTTCGTTGTTCGCCTCCACAACATTGTTCATCGTTACAACCTCACGCGACAGTCTTCCTCCTCTTTTTCTTTCTGCCCCCCCGTTGATCACTCTAACCACGTTCCGTCGTTCTTTCCTCGTCGATCGTCGCCACATTCCGTCGTTCGTTCCACAGCGAACATCCGCTGAAGTTCACGGAACGCGTGCGGGCCGGATCGCAGATGATCTGCTCGTCGTTCTCCGCCGGCGGTATGTTCCTCACGACGGGGAGTTCCGATCACGTCATCCGCGTCTACTACTTCGGCGGCGATGTTCCCGAGAAGATCGTCGACCTGGAATCTCACACGGTAATGTTCCGGGTTGTTCACTGGGTGTTTTTCCTTACCTTGCATATGTTCATCTGGAATCTGGACTAAGTGTAATGCTTCTTGAAGGGTTCACGGGCACGTCTACATATATAGCTGCTGGAATCCACATGGAATGTTCCGGGTTGTTCACTGGGTGTTCCTACCTCATATGTTCACCTGGAATCTACCAGTGTAATGTTCTGAAGGGTTCACTGCACGTTCCTACATTATATAGTCGCCTGGAATCTCAACGGTAATGTTCCGGGTTGTTCACTGGGTGTTCCTACCTCATATGTTCACAGGCTGAAATCTACAGTGTAATGTTCTGACGGTTCAGCTGGCAACGTTCCTACATTATATAGTCACCTGGAATCTCAAACGGTAATGTTCCGGGTTGTTCACTGCATGTTCATGCATTATATATTCGCCTGGAATCTCAAACGTAATGTCCGGGTTTCACTGGTTCGCTACTTCATAATGTTCACCTGGCATCTACCAGTGTAAAAGTCTGAGGGTGTTCACTGCACGTTCCACATTAATACTATTCCCTGGAATCTCAAACAGTGTAATTATATTATGTTATTATTATTATAATTATCAATACTATTATTGCCAGGATCGTGTTGACAGCATACAGTTTAGTCACAACAGCTGTCGCTTTGTGAGCATAGCTGTTATTATTATTATTATTATTATTATTATTATTATTAATTATTATTATTGTTATTATAATGATGATTATAATAATTATTATTGCCAGGATCGTGTTGACAGCATACAGTTTAGTCACAACAGCTGGCGCTTTGTGAGCGGTAGTAAGGATGGCATCGCTCGCATCTGGAACTATGGCAGTCAGGGAGTGGAAGTGCGTTCTCCCTCAACATGCCAGTCGACTGGCCGGGTGAGTAACCCCTTTAATTCTCTCTCTCTCCCTTCTCTCTTTCTCGCTGCTCTCTCTCTCTCTGCTCTCTCTCTCTCTCTACTGTCTCTCTCTCTCTATGGCAGTCAGGAGTGGAAGTGCGTCTCCCTCAACATGGCCAGCCGACTGTCCGGGTGAGTAACCTCTATCTCTCTCATCTCTCTCTCGTCGCTGGCTCATCTGTCTCTCTCACTGTCTATATGCTCTCTCTGTCCAGTCCTCGCGTCTCTGTCCTCTCTCTCTTCTCTTCTCTTCGCATCTGGAACTATGGCAGTCAGGAGTGGAAGTGCGTCTCCCTCAACATGGCCAGCCGACTGTCCGGGTGAGTAACCTTTATCTCTCTCTTCCCTTCCCTCTCTCTCTCTCTCTCGCTGGCTCTATCTGTCTCTCTCACTGTCTCTATCTCTCTCTGTCTATGCTCATCCCTCTGTCTCTCTCCTCTCTTCTCTCTCTCGCATCTGGACTAAGGCAGTCAGGAGTGGAAGTGCGTCTCCCTACACAACATGGCCCAGCCGCATCTGTCCGGGTGAGTAACCTCTACTCTCTGCCTCCTCTTCTCTCTCTCATCGCTGGCTCTAATTCTGTCCTCTCACTGTCTGCTATTTCTCTCTGTCTATTTCTCCCTCTGTCTCTCTCTCTCTCTCGCATCTGAACTATGGCAGTCAGAGTGGAATGTGCGTCTCCCTGAACATGCCAGGCCGACTGTCCGGTGAGTAATCCTTATCTCCGTCTCTTCCCTTCTCTCTCTGCCCTCTCCTCTCTCTCATCTCTCTCTCTCTCTCTCGTCTTCCCCGCCTCTCGCTCTCGCTCTCTCTCTCTCTTCTCTTGTCTCTCTCATCTCTCTCTCTCATCTCATCTCTCTCTCTCTCTCTCTCTCTCTCTCTCATCTTCTCTCTCCTTCTTCTTCTCTCTCTCTCTCTCTCTCCGTCTTCTCTCGTCTCTCTTCTCC